TATATATCATTTATCTCGAAGCTTCAAAAGTTTCATATGCAGCACGGCATTAAAAAGAACAGGAGAAGGAATAGGGGTGATGACGGGGTACAGTGAAAGAAATTCTATTAAAGATCAAAAAACAATGGACACGTATTTTTTCTTTGGGCAATCAACCAAAAAATGACAAAGTTATAGCGCGTCAAAGTTTGGGACGTCATTTTTTAGTGAATTTTCACTTAAAAGTGTACCAAAACGTGACGTCATGCGACTTTTCAAATCAATATATCTCTGCAATGTTTATACTATGTGAAAAAAGGAAAAATACGTGTCCAATACTTTTTGATTATATACCTGATAAACGAAGAAAAAAAAATGTCTTCATCCCTATTCAACCTCATTTCTTCTCAAAATGTCCCTTCTTATCCCATTGTTCTCCCCGAACACATGATGCCCCGCCATTTTTGTTCCATTAACTTGAACAAAAAGTAGCAAAAACCAAAGAAGAAGAAGCATCTGAAGAAAAAACTTAATGAAGAAAATGAAATGACGATGGCTGATGGAGAAGTTCATAATTCACAGCCGTTAGAAAAGAGAAATCAGCATACAAGTGAGTCCAAACCATTCATTAATGTAACGTGTCATGATAAGATGTTTATATGACTCGATCATAGTGGTCCTTCAGTGTCTGTGGTGTCAAAAGACACAGTAAACCAAATTCGTCAACAATTTGATGTAAGCGATATAAAGTTTAAAGCTGTCGATGGTAAAGAATTGTCTGTTATAGGGAAAGTTAACCTAAAATTATTGCTATACAATAATATGTTATTTATTCAAAAATTTCTTGTGGTAGAAAGAAAACGTAAACATTCATTTTAGGACAGCATTTCTTATTACGTAATAATGCAATAATATACTTTTGTAACGAACAATTTATAATGAAGCATATTAAGTGTAAATTCAAAAGACAATACATATATACAAATGAATAATTAAAGTACGTAATAGCAATAATTTGGTGATGATGAGCATTTATATTATGTCGAACAGGTTGATAATTGCTATAATAATATGTTTAATGACGATATTTTAATCCAGTTTACATAGGCTAATAGTATCAATGTATACTAATGAGATTTTATTTCAGTTAATTGTTTATAATGTAACGTACCTCAGGGACGATCCTGTTTTTGGCAGTCATCATACCAGTATAGATTCCATTTCACACATTTTTTCATCTATTATCATATTTATACACATTTCTTTCTTATCTTTCATTATTAATTCCTGGAAACGAATAATTTCAAAAATATCACGCACTATTCATCATTTCGTAAATAGGTATCAGAATCCTATCTTACTTAAATCACTATTCCAGAGTGCTGGACACTTACCGGCATTTCTCTATATTCTGTAATTTATTTAATTTTATTGTATTGCTCCAATTTTATTTATTTTTAGGCATAAAATTTGTTTATTTATTTTCTTGACATTTGTGACATCTTAATGTTTTTATATGTTGCCATGACACGGATACTTTCTCCAACTACGTCTATGCCTATTCAACCTCCACAGACCACCTACTTTGATTCTTTTTAGTTCGATTCGAATCGTGTCCAAATTTAAATGGTTCCGGACCTATAAAGGCCGAGCCACCCTGATCATTCATTCATTTCTACGGTAAAAGTTGCCAACTCAACTTTTGATAGCTCGCTACAGAGCTCTAAATTAATAAAAGGCCTTGTCCCGGGACTCAAGAAAAGACCTCAAAGCTAATCAGTACCCTTTGGCTTTCGAAAGTACTCTCTACTCGACTATACTACACTAAACGGTCATCCTCTTCAACGGACCCCTACTGCCGTCTGGACTCCAGCAGCGTCATCCAGGATCCAGCTGTTTCGGCCCGCCTACCACCGGCGCCTGTCGTTCCATTAGTGCCGATCGTCTCAAGACTTCGCCGGCCAACCTACCAGCAGCGCCCGTCAGCCACCACCAGGGCAGGCCAAGAACCGAGACGCCTGAACAAGAGCGCTTCTGCCTCCTAGGCGCGCCGCCCGTCCGCCAGCAGTTCGTCCTCCAGACCCTCAAGCTGCCACAGTGAAGATTGCCGACGACCCACGCCCACTTCAGCACTTCCTACTTCACACCCCACACTACACACACTATACCCCTACTTTTTTATATTCTTTTCTGTAAATATTATTCTTGTAAAAATATATATTCTTAAACCTATTCCTATTTTCTCTGTTCTTCTTCTCTTTTCTATTTATTTTGTCGCTGCCCGACAATATGAATGTTTTAGAGCAATGGTATGTTAAGAAAAGTTCAATTTAATAGTCATTTTAGAATTTTATTTCAAAAGCATAATTTAATATTACTCTTCATTTTCGACTTTACTTGTATGGACGTTCAGAATACCGAAAGGCTTTGAGACTTGCAGACATGTTCTGGAACCGTTGGGTACGTGAAATCCTATCAACCCTACAACCTCGTGAACCAGGAAATCCTACGACAGGGTTTGAGCTAGGTGACCTGGGGCTGATCGTCGACGAGACCTTATCGCGGAACATGGCGGCGGAGGCGTGTCTCGGCATTACACCTTGGCAAAGACGGGGTTGTGAGAGTAGTGGACGTTGCGACAGCAGATGGGGTCCTTCGTCGTCCCCGCCGAAAAGTAATAAAACTAAACCTTGGCTAGATCATTGTGCACTTCTTGTACAAGGGGTGGGGATGTTGCCGACCTTTTTTTATAGATTTAAGTTTTTATAGTTTTTTGAAGTGTTTTTAAGGTATTGACATATTATGATTTTTGTTATCAAAAATGTTATTGTGGTAGTCTTTGTCTGTCATCTGCTTGAATTTTATTTTGTTTTACTATAAAATCGTGTTAAGAAACCCATTGCGTCCTAAATCCTAGCCTAGATTTTCCATCCCGCTAGCTCTCCGCTTCAGTAACCGTAGCAAAGCTACGCTCCCAGGCCTATCCCTTCAGGATAGAGCACCACAGTACGGTACTTTGTTGTATAATAAAATAAATAACCTTCCCTTCTTAAATAATCAGAGAATTTGTTGCTGATATTTTCACCACAACACTTTTATACGCAACCCCAATTGATTTTCTACATGTGACTTTAAATTAATAAAACGGTCAATTACCTCGGATTTTACCTTCACAAGGCATCCATAAGTCTTGCAGGTGTAATCATCCGTGAAGGTGACAAGAAATCTCGCCCCACCCCAAACTTGGCTCCTGCATCGGTACACAAACGTCGCTATGTATCAACTGCAGTGGCTCAGTAGCTTGATTTGCTCGTCCACTGGGATAAGAACTGCCGACATCTTCCCCTGAAGACATGGCTCACAGATCTTCAAATGAAGTTATCCTGAAACATAATACCACATACAGATTCCCGAAGTTGTATCATACTTTTTTTACTTGTGTCCAAGACGTCTGTATCACAACTTGGCTGGTAAGCTTGTTGTTAATGTGGCTCTCGATAATTCCTGACTTACATTATCCAGGAACATAGCGTGCTCCTTTGGCGATGGGTTATCATTCTCCACATCAACATACACACACAACTTGTACAAACCATTTGTAATGGCAACACATGCAATTGGGTTGCCAGATGTTAATATTATATGGAACAGCCCTTATCGTTAAGAACAGCAAAATATTAATAATAATTATTATTATTATTTATTTATTTCTCTCCACAAACATCAAACGGATCATAATAAACATAGGTTATTAATATACATACATTAACGTGTCTGTGGGAGACTGGAGTGTAAACTAGGCAGTAGTCTACCTGTATTTTAGAGCTCCAGGCCTCCAACCCTCGATACAATTTTAAAACACTCCATAAAAGATAATAGGTATATGTATATATTTATCTATGAAATAACCTTTCTGAACTAATTTTGAAATGGAAATTAAATTACTTGACAAGTGGGACACATACAACACATTAGACAAAATCAATGGACTCCCCTGATTACCAATTAAAGTTCAACGATTCCTACTCCTTTGCTTAATAAAGTGTCATTATTGGCGACCTTTAATTGAACTATTGCAAGGTTTCATATCCTGAAATACAGCTTTGTTGTTAACCATATGATTGCATGCACCACTGTCTAAGTAAAAATTCTTGTCCTTATTGGGAACAGTCAAAAAAGCTGGAGCTAAATGTGTTTCTCGTCTCTTCCTTGTATGATTTTCTTTCACGCTTCAAATTGAAACAATGTGCTTTCGAATATCCTTTCCCCTGACAATGATTGCTCACAAAATTTTTAATTTTGTTTGATGCAAAAGCTGATCCACTTCTTCTTCTTTAGTATTCTTGCAAGTCTTGCCCTTACATGATCACTTCAGAGTTGGTTTGTCGCAATAACAGCAGCCATGCTCAAGACGATAGTGTCACCAGAGGCGTATGTACTATTGTGTCGTGACAAGGAAAATTTAGTTAGCGCCTAATGAAGAGTCTGATGTTACTAGTTACGGCTTTTTATTTTATCTCTGTATTCTATATGAGATTCATTCCTTTAGAAACACTGCACTTTTAGTAACTATTATTATAAAAGCGAACAGTTACATTTTTACGCCTGAACTGCTGAATAAAGTTTAAAAGGTTTTGCTGAGGCGATGATGGAGATAGATTGGGCCTAAAATGAAATTATAGTCTAGTTTTTTTCACGAAAACAACACTTTATGAAACCAAAATAGAAGTATAGTCAAATTAAATACGGAAAAAGATATCCTATTTATATTAGAATGCACTGCAATAAAATAAAACGGCCTAATACCTTATTTCGTAGTAAGTACCTACTGCCTAAAAAGCTCTTTCACGTGTTTAGCGCTGCCGCTGTCCCGCATGCTGGATCCAGCAAGATGGATAGTGCGTAGAGGGCTTTAGTTTAAAGTTATGAGATCATCATGCTAGTGCGTCAGATGAACTCGATGGTGCAGTGGTAATTGTGTTGACTATCATTCGTGGAATTAGTTTTCAAAATCAAACAAGTTATTCTTTCATTCATTTTTATTTACTTTATCATGAATACAGCAAAGTCATTATGGTAGGTACTCACATTTCAAAAATTAGTAGTTCGTATTTCAAAAAAATATCAAAACTTAAAACTTGCGCTAAGAAAATAACTATCTAAACTTAATACAACACATTTTGACAAAAATAAAATGATATCACAAGACACTTACATCCGAATAGGTACTTATTTATAAAATTGAACTAAATATTTACAAATTTGGTTAAGAAAAAATATTACCGGTCAACGTTTGGTGATGTAAGAAAATATTGTTACTATGAATTGTTCGTTTAAAAAAATATTATTATTATGATGAAAATAGACTTATAAATTATTATTACAAATATTACTTTTGGTATCAAAATTCTTTTGAAGAAGATGACACAGAAAAAAGCTAGTGGCAAACGAATTGCACACGAGGCGATAAAACTATCTATAAATTAATTATGTTGCACGACGCCAGTTAACCGATACCATTACCAATTCATAAAGTTATCATTTTGCGCAATAAAAGTAATTTTCATTCATTCTAAAATGTTGACACTCTCTTTTTTACTATTACGCACATTTTGGTGGAAAAATGGCACACAGAAATTATAATATCAATGAAAACAAAATTTCGAGATAACTTACGAAAAGATGACGTCATCGTCAAGTTTACCTCATCTCAGGACAACATAGATAAGCATCCAAAAACATATTGTGCTTGTTTAAGGCCCACAAGACTTTATTTTAAAACAAATACCTAACTAAAAAATTAGATCAAAACCATTTATTTTTATTGAAAGATTTTGTCCTTTTTTTACATCTAATATCAAATGTATCATGTACCTACTAATAGGGATGATGACTAATTTTTTTTTCTTCGTTTATCGGGTAGATTATCAAAAAGTATTGGACACGTATTTTTTCTTTTTTCACATAATAACAGCATTGCAGAGATATATTGATTTGAAAAGTCGCATGACGTCACGTTTGAGTACACTTATAAGGGAAAATTCACTCAAAAGTGACGTCACGAGCCCCTACTCCCAAACTTTGACGCGCTATAACTGTCATTTTTTGGTTGATTGCCCAAAGAAAAAATACGTGTCCATTACTTTTTGATTATCTAACTGACGGACTAAATAGAATTTCGTTTACTATACCCCGTCATCACCCCTATTGATCATATTCCACGCGCTAATTTCTATAGTAGAATAATTTATTGATAATGGTTAAAAATTGTTCTTATACGTGCCTGTATACGATGGCACAATAACAAGTGAACACATTAAGAGTTTCGGGTCTAAATTATACATAGCTTTCATACATAATTTTGACCAAAATATCAACTACTATTATACATTAGTAGTAGTTGATATATTGGTATTATACTCTTCACAGAAATGAGTTAATGAAGCGCTATTTTATCACATAGTCGCTTACAACAGGCATTAGCCGGTGTAACGACATACAAACGTCATTACTCCGGCCAATGACCAAAGAGCTTTATATATTCGGTATCAACTCGTTTCCGTGAATATAGTATATTTAAGTAGGAAGATGTATTACGCTAGCAAAAATACACCAGCAACTACAACATTTCAAAACAGCAATAACAAAAATATCATGTTGCCATCGAGCGAAGACAGGTGCATTGATATGTTACACCACCACAATTTCAAAAGCGTAAAACTAGTCATAAGTACTTAATGAAAAAAAGGGGCAACACACCAATGGACTAGTTTTCAATTTTATCACTTTACAAATGACATTTATTAAATGATTCCAATAAATTTATGACGCACCATTCGCACGGGTTTCTAAGAATGTGTCATAATCATAAATAAATGGCAGCTAGAGATGCGATGCGACGTCACACGTGGTCACATCTCGCATGGACGCATGCGACATTCATGCTATTCTGGTATAAGGACATGATCAGTACCCTTAGTACGAATTTTACAATTACGAAAATTATGATAGTTTTCGTGAGCTCGCACCGTATTACGGGTACTGATTTTATTGTTTTCGTTTCAATACAAATAAACTGTGTTTAAATTCTATCATTAAATCATTTGCGTCTTATTAAATTTTAAGTATATTTAGTTACTTTTCACCAAAATGAACATAGAATCATAATTTACAATTACGAAAACTATGATAGTTTTCGTGAGCTCAAACTCGTACTAAGGGTACAGAAGGCACTTTTGACTCGAGTCGTGGCACGATTTTAAATTATATATAAATTAAAATTATTGCATATGGTCTCATCCACTTGCACTTCTGAAAATTGCCAATTCTATCGAAAATGTGCCAAACGGCGAATCGTCGCACCGTAACTCTGTGTCGAATAAAATAAGCAAATACAGGTATATTTTGGTTCATTCAATACACAATTAAAATATGTTTTGAAATAGTGAAGTTACTCATTTATTTTAGTTCTTCAAAACAGTAACTTTACGAAATATGGCCAACCGTGCAGAACTACAATAACACTATCATTTTGACAATACCTACAAATAGCAGAATGTATAACTATTTATTGTAGAAATTATATATAAAATAGGCATTATTGATAAAATTTAAAAATATTCTGGTGAAAAGTGTAAGGAATAATTGAAATATATTGTTCTAATGACGAATATTTGTTGGGAATTTTATCTAGCTTCAATTAAATGTCACAATGACTTCGGAGGAGCTCAGTTGCAAGAGTTAAAATCCTTATTAACCACTTAATATAGGTACATTATGATATCACGTATGTAGTCATAAAATATGTGCGCTAATCAATACAGTGTCATATTATCAGATTATGTGTATGCACGCTTCATTATTGTAATATATTTTTACGTTATTAAAATCAAATTACTTTGAATATATTATATATAAGACAGAGTTACTATTTACATTTATTTGTACATGTTCAATGTAAACTTTAAGACAATTATGATAATAAAATTACACAGTTATTAAATACGCCATAATTTTTGTATCATATTACACGTCATAACACTGCGTAACGACACAAATACATGGATTTAATAAGTACTGCTAACGTATCGAAATATATTAAAAATACAATTTCTCTTTTATATAATATTACTAATAAAGTCATTGTCGACAAAGACAGTGCCCTTGTGATTCCGTACTTATAGGTCGGTTTACATTCTCTTTGTTATACGGGTTTGCTATCATAGGTCATCTCATCACAGATTAAGTAGAAATTTCTACGAGTATTTCAAAACAAAATTATACAGCAGGATCAACTATGAACTTATATGGTAGAATGTAGAGGAAATGCGTATCAGGACTATAGCAGGTGCAAATGAATTGCCTCAGCCTATGCAATCGTGAATATAATTTGACGTGCGTAGATAGCCACGTAATATTACCAATATTTATTAGTAACATATTATATTCTGCAACTAATAGTTAGCCACAAGCCAAAGAACACTATTTTGCTGCTGTGTTCTTGCAGTAATGTGAGCGTCATCCATGCAACACATCTATGCACATAAACACAATATGAAACTGTCTGACTGACTGATCGACCAAACTAGGCTTTGTAGCCGTGCTTTGTTAGAACCGTTAAGTCCTTAAGCATATGAAATTTGCAGTTTTCTTTATTAAGCTTACTTAGAAATAAGTGTGGACTTGTGAGGACTTACAAAGGATTTTTGGAAATTTGAAAAAAGAATTACTTTCAGGCAGGCCGTATGATTTTTTGCCACCCTTATAACATAAAAAAGATAGGAAGACAAAAGATAGACTGTCTGTTTGGAAGTGCTATAATTATAATGAAAGGAATGAAAAAATGATGAACCAAAGCATATAATAAATAAGGTTTTCAGATTTTAATGTTAACCCTATTTACATATTGTAGAAGATTTAAATCAGTCGAATTTACATTACGAAATAAGTGCCATGAAAGTAGTGCCTTGATAATAATTTCATCAACAATTTCGCGTGTGACGTTAACACGTGAAATTTTTGATGAAATTAATATTACGGAACTACTTTCATACCCCTAATTTCATGTTTATTGGGATTTATATAAAAATAACGAGATAACTTTTAGACTCACATTTGTAGTTTTAACTATCCTACGAGGACATAATAGCCATTCCGGAAGCTATTAATGAAGCTTAATTCAATCAATGAGTTACATGTTACAAATAAGGCATGTAACACAGGCACACAATTTTATTAAATTACATAGTCTATATTTTGTATCAAAATTTTAGTTATTATGATATTGTAAGCAAGTTTGGGTGTAGGTGGTAATCTCTGAAAATACTTATCCGATTTAAAATAACTTGTGAGCCGATATTAAGACCTTTCAGTAAGGGTCATATCACTAACCTTAAACGTACGGACGTACAAATCCGCGCGGGCAAGGAAGGTAGTTTGGGATAATTTGAGAATATTTAAATCACTTGATTACCTCGCGAAACTGATAGGGGTAAACTTGTTGATGCAAGATCAAATAACAAATTTCACAGCAACACTTTTCATTCGTAAAACTATGAAAACATTTTTTCCCCCCAAAAATTACTGTTTGTCATTAACTTTATTTACTTTTTCGCCATTAGTTATCAAGAAAATGACAACAATACAGCTCAGCCGTTTGTTAGAGGGAGAAAAGAAAACGCAGTTACCAAGCAAAGCGACGCGGACTCGCCGAAGCGTACAGTTGTTTCGCTCGCTCGATTGAATGTTTATTTAAAGAAGTCTGCGTGCGTGAGAGTTGCATTTGTAGTTGAGTCGGAACATATTTTATTTGATGCTAGCATGAGCGTACCGTATCTTCTCTTTTTGTTTTAATCTAAGCTTACACTTCCGATTCCTGGTGAATGCAAACAAACATTCAATCCATCTAGATGTGTGTCGACAACTCATATTTTATGCTAGTTATTGTAAAATGACACCATTCTGACCACTAGGTACTACTACTTTGTCAATAAAATATATATGTATAGTTTTTAGTAATCTGCACAAAAAAACTATCACGAGATCATAAAATCTTGCAATAATTTGCAAATATTATGTATGAGCAACAAGGCTTTTATCTAAAATTGGATTTTAAAAATATAGTACTATGACAAAAAATAACTTGTTATAAAAACTAAACTCATATGCCAATACGAAGATATGTTTTACGTGAACTACCATAACAGATGAAATATGAATTTAACATAGCTCAATTTTTTTTACCCACGCGTTTTTGTTGGTTTGAATTTATGACATCCCAATAACTAAAAACGCTCCATTTTTCTAGTAGGTCGCATGCCCTACTAGAAAAATGGAGCGTAACTTGGATTGTAACTTTTAAGCGAGTTGTTCGAAATATATATATTATAAAGGATGAAAAAATAGTTACAGTTTACTTGACACATAAGTTGAAGTATTAACATTAATGCTTAGGGTATTCGATCATATCGTATAAATTGTATGTCTAGTGCTACAGCTTCTACCCGCTTGAATATAAGTACTCGAGAGAAACTTACTTATATAGACGATAACAATATGATTTTCTCCTGGGAAGTTACTCGCATTGTAGTTTTGATTGTATTTACCAATTAAAGTATCACTGGGAATGTTAGGCATTATTTATTCTATTGATCATTACACAAAATTAAGTTATTAAATAAGTTCTGAAGTATTCTGTTTTTGATGACGCCATGATTAGTATTAAGGCTTCTTAGGTAGACTTAGGCGGCAGGTCAACATATCTTTTTTTATGTATTATGTTTGCTGATGGTTAGTTGTAGATGGCTAGTTTTTTTATTAAGCAAAAATATGTTGTACCAGATAGAAAACGTGAATATTAAATACTTCAAATCATTTAGAATTTCTTAATGTAATTTTAAATTTCAACAACTTTAGATGATTTACTCGTTTAAAAAAACTGCTGAAAAATGAGACTACAGTAGATACAATTAATAAATGATTAATGATACATAACATCATAATTTAAAGAAAGTTTAATTTATTTCTCTTGAATACTTAATCATAGTATATCTGTAAGGCGCTAGAGGAACTGCACGTTCAACTGTTTAAACACTTTGATTTAATTGCATTTGAACTTCAACTGATCTACAATTTGGCAGTAAAACTGCAGTTGACATAGACTGTGTATAGGTTTAAAGACTGTTGAACAACACATTTTTCTTTCATTCAAGCACATCTCTTGATACGTTCTATCGGCTTGTATTTACGTTGTCCATGTATCACTATCAGATGACAGCGATACATGGACAACGTAAATAGAAGCCGATAGAACGCATCAAGAGATGTGCGTTGTCATCATACCTAGTAAAAACATTATTTAATGCTGCATTGATGCTTAAATAATGTTTTTATTACTATAGTGTAGGCTACACTATAGTGTACACTATCTATACACTATAGTGTAGGCTGTAGGCAGTGCTATGTCACCTAGCTAAGTCCTTACGACACTGACAATACAATCCATTAAAGTACTTACAGTTAAAATTACGACTATATTACACGTTATCCTGACTACAATCTTTGCAAGTGATTAATTGAATATCTCGATACTTCGTATAATGGGCCTAATGAGTAAAGAGTTACTAGATCAGCAAATCAACTCAAAATCAACAGTATAATGATCTAATTAGCTTTTTAATTAATATATTTTTTAAATCATCGAAATCGGTTCATTTATTGCGATTTTATAACTAATTTTATGATAGCCAATATTCACTGGCGCATGGCGGCCGAAACGTGTGACGTCACACAGCTCGATCGTGGTTCACTCCGGTCGAACTTCAGAAGCGTCACTACGCACGCTTACGCCCGAGCGCTAAAGCTTTGGGACGTCACAGCCACCACGCGGCCAGCCGAAAATTCGTTTAGTAATTTGGTGACAACTTCGTCAATATTTGTCGTAGAACAGAAATTTTACCACTGTATTTTTTGTAATTCTTAGCTCTATAAATCTGCATTCTCAATCTGCAAACGTTACGGATCCTCGGTTACGCAAAAATGGAAGGAGATAGGTACTTCATTTTAATTTAAGGTTAAGAAATTCCCTACAAGATTAGACTCATTGTGCGGTGATTGAGGCTGCGTATAAGACGTATTATAGGTGTACTATGCTGTTGTATCTTTCGTCAAATTCTATCTCATGCGCATAGGGACTTTAGTAATATAAATCGGTCGATAGTGCTTGATGAACTTAATATATATGTAGTTGATTGCTAAATGTTTTATGTAATATTGTATTATAAAAACAGTTTAAGCTGTTTAACTAGGACCAATAAAGAGACGAATTGAAAATGGCGACGTAAAATATTATGTCTCTACCGCATGTCCTGTCAGAAATAATGTGCGAGAGGGATAGAGTGTATTGCATTGATATTTTCAATTCGTTTCTATGTTACTGCGAGTTATATTATGTCACAAAAATGAGGCAACCACTGTAAAGGCACAATGTGTTTTGTACCCTGAATGTAGGCTATTCGCATTTAACCAAAGTGATTTATTGGTCCTTTTTTCAAATAGGTAAATAAAGCCAATGTGATGTTAGTATATTAATTACAAGTTGGGATTGTTTATCAAATACCATAACTAAGTTAATAGAAATGCCATATAAGGTTTTTGTGAAACCTGTATTCTATATTTCGGTGCTTCCAGATTATATGACAATATTGTTATATAACATATTTATAAAACAAGTCATACAAGTTACAATAGTCATATAATCTGGAACCTTTACACTTCTCAATGCATAGATAAATCTCTCGCATAATGTATAATATTGCTCCGATCTTATACATAGATTTGTTGTTAGCAATATTGACTTATGGAATAATTATCATTAACGTAAAAATTGTCATTGAAATATTCAATTAAGCCAACTTTATGTTCTACACATTACTATATGATTTTATTAATGAATAAAGCACAACCATATATATATATATATATATATATATATATATAATAGCCGAAAGACGTCCACTGTTGGACATAGGCCTCCCCCATGGATTTCCACAGCGATCGGTCCCATGCTGCCCGCATCCAGCGGCTTCCCGCGACCTTTACCAGATCGTCGGTCCACCTTGTGGGGGGCCTGCCAACACTGCGTTTCCCGGTACGCGGTCGCCACTCGAGGACCTTTCCGCCCCAGCGGCCATCGATCCTGCGAGCAATGTGCCCTGCCCATTGCCACTTAAGGTTTGCAATTCTGTGGGCTATGTCGGTGACTTTAGTTCTCTTGCTGATGATGATGATGATGATATATATAATATATATAATATATATATATATATATACAACATGAGATAGAATATAACGTATTTCGCTTTTTTGTTTAAAATGTGTATTTAATGAAAACTTTTCCTAAAAATTTCTTTGAGTAAAATATACTTTATGATGTGAGCAGGCACAGACTATTATTGTTTGTATTATGTCTGTTTCGTCAAAGTCGTTAAAACCGCACTCGTAAATTCTTTTATCATGTCGTATGTCAAAGATAGGAAGTTCTTATTATACTAAAAAATCACAATAAAATACATAGATTTAACAAATATTACACGACATTTCGAGTACAATTGTAAATTTGAATGAATTATATTTTCATAGCTGCCAAAAAGTTATAGGTAAAACATTCAATGCCTATTTATATTCATGAACCACACACACAGAAAGCAAAAGGATATATTTTGATAAAATTGCGTATAGCTTTATAAATATATTGTATTTTATTTATTATAACACGTATTTACAGTATTATTATCAAAGAATTCTTGAATTAAATCATTGCAAGAGATTATGTTTCACAATTAGAGACATCTCTAATGGAAAATCGTGAAATAAACACTATATTTTAGATTACATCTGTATCACTACAATACAGCGAGCTAATTGTGAAAGCAGATATACCATTCACACCAATGATCTTCCTTTTCAAGTAACTCGCATAATTTAAAAAAAACTTGGGTAATATAGACGAAAAGACTTGTTTTTGACATTAAAGTATTTCAAATTTATTTCAAACGGTGGCAGTGAAAAATCTGTCTAGATAATATTTACCAACGTCGTTAATTTGTAGATAGCTACATAAATAGCTCGATTTGTGTAATAGACAAATCGGCGATCAGTCCCCGTAGCATGAACACCACAAAATACGACATATCACGTTTTTTATCGCGTCTAACTGCCAAACTTCATAGTAATTAGACATTTGAGCGTGATAAAAACGCGATCTATAACATATCGCGGTGCTCATACTAGGGGGATAGATTAGTAAGACTATATCGACAAAATTTTCCTATCGATTACCAATGTAAGCGCTAAAGCTCAAAATCGATTGCACAATTTTGACATTCTGGTGAACTCTAAAACAATTGGATCAAGTCTATAATAATTGTATTTCTGTTTTCTGGTACATCATCAAAATGTCAAATTTTCCTAACCATTTGGCCGAATCCGATACACAGAAATTGTTTTTTTTAATTTTTTGGTATCGTGGCATAATTACTGCGCGACATAATGTGATTTTTCATGTGGAAAAATTAAATAAGCGCAACTGTCTTATGTAAATGACAGCTTACAAATCATTTATAATGCCAACTGCTTCCCATGCTTTTCCCCTCTGTTATTGAAGAATTATTCAACAATCCACCTTTCTAAATATAGTAATTTTCTTCCAGTGATGTCACATAGGCACTCAGATTTTTATCAAATAATTATTCATTTATTAGATATAATTATTAACAAAATATGTTATCTATTATTGCCAAAAAAGTTTAAAATAGGTCTGATTTATTATATATATAATAAAATAAAAATACTTTAATAATATACATTTTACGATTTGTATGAATATTGTGACATTAAATAAAACAAACTATTTAGAACTACATCAATCCACACGTAACAGCTCTTGAATTCTGAACATAAACAAAAAGTATATTGCCTATGTATCAACATCATGATTTAATTTCCCAACGGACGCCCATGAGACTGAGCGTTTGTCTGCAAAGATATAGCAAATTACGTAACAATTTTCAAGGCTCTCTAACAGCCAGATTCATTATTCAAAATTCTAGTAATAGAAAGGCCTATTAGAGCTTTGTTCCATAGATATTTTTATCATTTAGATTATAATAACAACTGTTGCTAGGAAAGGGAACCAGAACCGTAATTCAACTAGTAACAGTGTCTTAATAATTGTTTTGTAAAGTAAAAACTTCTCTCTCTGTACAAATAACAGTACATCAGATAACTAAAAAAATGGCAATATTTTGTAATCGATTTTGAGCATGAAATCCCACTACTAAGGTTGAAAAATTGGGTATGTGTTTGACAGTTTTATATTATCCAGAAGAGCTGTGTGTAAATTAGCTCTGATAAATTTATCTCTTGTCAGAGTCAGTGAGCTTATTGCAAAAGGCTTGCATTCCTATTTCAATATTACTAACATTACGACACAGTATAATGTTAATAGAACTACTTTATGTCAACTGAATAAGGCAGATTTACATTGTGCTTTATGGAAAGACCCCAGATTACTGGGAACGACCAGAAAAGATTGACATAATGAAACCATATATTTTGGAGACTGTTGTTAGATACCATGGTCAAAACTAAACTAGGGTTTTCGGTGATAAAAAAAGATAGACTAAGCTTTTCCTCAGTATTTGCACTGTCACCAATTATTCTGTGTCAAAGAAAAATTAACATTATTTATAACTCTAATTCTCTCTCTAGCATTTATTGTAAAAAAGGACACATTGTATCTTATTAGCGTTACATTTGGTTTGAATTTTTTTTGTGACACAAATAAACTACACAAAACCTAAAGGTGTTCTGTGTGGTGTGTAAGTAAGGCTATTTATGTGAGGATACCTTTGATTCACATATTTTTAATTGCTTATTTACATTTCGTATAACACTTTTTTGGCATAATAATACTTTGTCATAATTTTATTTGTCATACTGAAAAGATTTTTCTCTTCGCCAGAGTATTATCTGCCTGCAAATGAATTAAGGTTAGGTTAGATGAAAAATATGGATAAAAAAAATGTTCAATGTGGTTTGGACTCGATTATCTAGACTGTAACGGGAAACATTTATTAAATTTAGTAAACTTTTCTTTTTGATATAAAATTCTAGCAGTTTAATGCTCAAAATAAACATTTGATTATTTTTTATTTAAAAGCGACTTCAGTAACATATACATACATAATATAAGTAAAATCCAAAATTGTACTTTTTTATTATTAAATTAGCGATGATTTTAAGTAACTTTAAATACTATGTTTGCGTTTATGTTTTTGCAAATCATAACGATTCACCTTTATTTTAAACACTAAAACTATTTTTTTTACAATAATGTCATTTCATTGAGTCTTTACTGCATGTGTGACAATTATTAGGGCAAAATAGAATTGTGACAATTGTGAGAAAATAACAGCAGAAAAAGCAGGATGTGAATCAATAGGGAGCCTAAGGCGTTGTCCTAATTGGCACAGATCGTACGATGACACGATGCGTTCCCGTCGTGCGTTGAGTACAAACATACAGGTTCCTTCAGAATTACAGCTCGTAAGCCGTCGTTCGAGCACAGGCTGCTTATTAACGATCGTACGATGTGTCTAATCGTTGAAACTTGACTCCAATCGATATATTTCCATTATTTTCATCGCACGACGTGTTCGCCTCGTGTCAACGTACGTACGATTGTGGCCAATTAGAACAACACCTTTTTGTATGTGATTGTGTTTTCACCTACACCCATACGGGGCGTTGAGGTCTGGGCCAGTGTTATGGTCGATGGAGTAAAGGCGTGTCTTCGCCGCTGGCCCATTGGTTGTCTACGCGCCGCCTTTCGCTGCAGTTGTTGGTACAACATGCGGAAACGTTCGTGCCGGCCTGCGAATACGTATATACTTAATAAAAAAATATCTATATAGGAAAAATATATATGCTTGTTGGCCCTTTAACTTTACTATGTATTAGATGGCCCATTAACTTTATTGCATATTAGTAACAGTTTATAACAGTTAAACATCGTCATCATGGACATCAATAGACTACAATGTTTCGACGCATCGTCAATCTGCGGGGAACAGTTTATTATCAATCATCAATTTGATAAGATACTATACTATAGAGAAAAAAGACACTATACCTTTAACAGGTACAACGTGCTGCTCGGCACAAGTAACACGCCAGAACGTTTCACTTTTAGACTTTTTAGTTGCTATGGATGATAATATATTTCGGCTCATTATCAACCTGCAAGGATTATAATGAAGAAGGAATGGCTCGATTGCGCATGTGGATGTGCGTTCAGCTTGCGATGGTGGTAGTTAAGCAACTTTCCCAAAGGTCAGTGATTGGATGGGTGACAAAAACTTATTTTCTTCGGTTGGTCCCAGCTGCATCTGCATTTGTTAGCACCCACCAATGCACACTGGGTCCGCGGTGTCGGTCACTGCTCAACCACTTTATTCTATCCGTAGGGAAGGCCTATGCTCCTACTGTGTGATCTACATTATTAGGCTGATGATGATGATAAAGATTATAATTCAGCATTATCTTTACCTGCAACAGGTGCAGCTCTAGCACGCTGACCCCTAGCGACTACCCCACGCCGGCGAGCCCCAGAGACCGCGACCTAACGTTAGAGTGCAGCGACCCCGGCCCCAGTGATCTACACAGAAGGCACTATACCTGCGACAGGTGCAGGTCGTACAGGTGCAGCGTGCTGACTGACATGTCGCGCGTCTCATCGCTGGGCGGCGATACAGCGGGCGCGTCCAGCCCTAGCACGCTGGCCCCTAGCGACGACCCCACGCCGGCGAGCCCCAGAGACCGGGACCTAACATTAGAGTGCGATGACCCCGGCCCGGGGGACTCCTCCTCGTCACTGGTCTCGTCCATCTCCTTTATAAGGGAAAAGGAAGCTAATGAGCGAAAACTGTAAAGATTTCTCGGCGCGCAACGATTGTTCGAAGAAGACGAGGCAACTATAGCAAGAATAGTAAAGGTTTTTTCGGAGGCGATTGCGTTGAGTCAAATCTGCGTACGAGTATGTTGGTTTATATTGTGTTATTGATTTGCACAGCTGGAGGTTAAAAATAATAACCGATGACGGGTAAAAATTAGAAACAAATGTGAAAAATAAAGTAAAATCTCCAAAAGTACTAAAAATCGCAGAACAAACATAATATGAGTGATTCGGATATGGTTTTATTGTTTAAAAAGTCAAACATTAAAAAAGAAAATGAAAAATTTACTAGAAAATCATCAACTCGACCGAGATATCATCAGGCTGTCATTTTCGAGAAGAATTAAAATAAGATTAAATAAAAAAACATTCACATCACACAACATCATTTTAACGCTTAAATAGAAATATAATAAAATATGATGAAGTGAAAACTAAGAGGGAGAGATACTTACAGGTAATTTGTACGGTTGCCGTTGCTGTTGATAAAACGATAGTACAGCTGGGAGAGGTGTATTAGCACCGAATATACTTTGTTGGATATAAGAACCCAACATGGTTTTGTTCTGAGAAAAATAAATAAAAATTGTATATCTTTTCAATCACGCAAAAACATATAAAAAGACTTCACGTATTTTTGGTTAACTTATAAATTGTTTTTGTCAGAATTGTAAAGGACATTGGGAACTTTACTATGGAAGAATTCGGATATATCAGACAGAGATGAATTCTATTTTATTTTAAAGCTACAGACCTCCAGGTAAAGCTAAGCTGCTGACCTTGAGCGCTTTTTTTGTGACCCAGAAGGGCGTGTGAAATCCCCATGGATACTTTACAGCCGGCTTAAGGGTTATGTCAGATATTTACTGACTAAAACACACCCGTGGGCCTTTGGCCTTTTGCCATAAGGGCCTTACAGGCTTCGCTCATACATAAACCTCAATTTTCTCAGCATTCCCAAATGTTACAGAAATAAAAATTGCACAGGGATACAGAAGTTGTATTTATCTATTGTATTAGATTTCGTTTGCGTTCGCCACTTTTCGATATGTGTGGCAAAATGTTCCGAATGTCTTAAGCTACCAAAATTTAAAAGTATCAATTATAAAATTAAACTCTTTTTAAACAAGTTTTTAATAGTAATCCATCCTCAAGTCTATATGAGACGACTTACCAGGGGATTATGTACGGGCAGAGCGTGGTTCATACTCTGGCGAAGGGAGCGCAGGAACTGTCGCTGCGCCGGCTCGTCCGGTTGCCAGCCCGGATGCCGGCACGAGAACGCAACCAGAGACAACTCCGTTTTACCACCTTCCCCTTGGTTGTACTGAGTGTTGCCACCTACGAAAAATTTAACAATGAAATAGACAATTTGTATTTTTTTTTTTGAAAACGTTCATTATAAATTATTTATTAGTGTAAAGCGACTCCATAAAAAATGGATATTAAAATTCTGCTGAATTAAAATTCTATTTTCAAATATGCCGCGGAAACATTTGTCTAACAAATATGGCGTTGGCGTTCAATTTACGTCAAACAGTACAAAGAATTTTCACTTCTACAGTAGATTGTAGTTTTTTCTCATACAGTAGATTGTACATAATTCATCAGAATATAGCGGGTCTTTTGAAAAAAAGTAATGAATTCTTAGTACATCTTAATGAACTAAAATAAAAGACAAAAAAGCAAGGGCGGCTCCTGCATCATTGTAAGAAAAGGACTCCAGTATAATATTATAGAAAGCGTGAAAGTACTCAATTGAATGTTTGATAGAATGTTGTGCAATTGAACTTGTTTAACATAGAATAATTATCATATGTGTGTATAGAGTCCCAAATTCTGACCTTAACATATTTTTTAATAAACTCGATGACATTTTAAGTAATACTTGCCAGTTGAGCAATAAAAAAGTCATATTGTGCCTTTAACATTAATATTTTTAAAAATACAAGAGATAAACGGGACTTTGAATATCTACTGTTGGGTCACAATTTGAGGCTTGCCATTAATGAACCCACAAGAGAGAGCAGTGGTACCTGTTTGGACAATATCGGTCATAATATTAAAGGCGCTAAGGCAGAGGTAGTTGAACTAGCTCTGTCTGATCATTCAGCTCAAATATTAATGTGTCCCGTGAAGAAAACATACACTCTAAATTCGTGGAAAGTTAAACGTCGAGATTACAGTAAAATTAACCTAAATAATTTTAATAATTGCATAGCAAACCTGACTTTTAATGATGTACTTTTAACTGACAACGTTGATACAGCTTACGTTAAATTTTTGACATTTTTAAATGTTTATATGATTTATGCTTTCCGATTAAAACTATAAAAAAAACTATTAAAGTTAGACCCAAATGGCTTACTAGAGGAATCAAATTGTTGTAAAAAAAGAGAGAATTCTTAAGGCAATATAGGTTGAATAAAAGTCCTGATGCTAAAGCAGCCTTGAAAGGATATACGTATAGATTAAGAAAAATAATTTCACTGACACAACGAGCACAGAATGTTCAGCACATAAAGAACTCTGAAAGTAAATCTAAAGCCTCTTGGCAAATAATAAATAAAACCAAAAACAGTAGTCAAAAGGAACCCATCACTAAAATAAAAGTAGATAACAGCTATGTAACACAACCAATTCAGATAGCAAATGCATTTGATGATTATTTTATTAATGATACTTTAGATAATAGCAATTGTACAAATAAAATAGAGCTATCGGGCATAAAAAGTAATTTAAAAACAATATTCCTAGCACCTGTTAAACCCAAGGAAGTGTACAGAGTAATTATGTCATTAAAAAATACAACAAGTGTAGGCTTTGATGGATTCTGTACAAAAGTAATAAAGAACGTAGGTCATTTAATAGCAGTGCCCTTAAGTCATGTTATAAATCTCAGCTTTGACACAGGCGTATTCCCAAAAAAAAATTTTAATGACAAAGAATTAAAATGATGATTTTTAGATTTTTATAGTGATACAATTTATTTAATAATATAATGTGTAATTTATTTAATGCAATTTTTATGACATAGAATTTTATTAATTTTAAGATTTTTAATTTTGTAAGATTTTTGATGAGTTTTAAATTTATATTTATTTATTAAAAAATTTAACAAGCTCTTTAAAGCACATTGCTATGCCCTAGCTGGGTTCGTGTAAGGATCTAAATGAACGCTTTGTAACACCTCTGTACAACTACATGAAAAAGCAATGAATATGATTATGATTATGAAAACTAAAACAAGCTATTGTTAAACCATTATTTAAAAAGGGTGACAGAGAAAATATATCAAATTACCGCCCTATAACACTACTATCAATACTGTCTAAAGTTGTCGAAAAAATTATTTACAAGAACATATACAATTTTTTTGTGAAATATGACATATTTATAAAAGAACAAAACGGATTTAGAAAAAAAGTGTCTGTAAATACTGCAATCTTTGATTTAGTAAAGAAAGCTGTAATAACAATGGATAAAACAAGGCCATCATGTGCTGTGTACATGGACATGACGAAGGCGTTTGACCGTGTAGATCATAAGTTACTACTTTACAAGCTAGAAAAATGTGGAATTCGTGGAAACTGTCTTAAACTTATAAAATCATACTTAGAAGACCGAGATCAATATACTGAATTAACACAAATATGTGTCGCTACCAGGGAAGAAAAGAAATATATATCAAAAAACAAAATTGTTAAATATGGCGTACCTCAAGGCAGCGTTCTTAGTTTATATTAATGACATCATAAACTGAAGTCATCCTATGATATTATTTGCTGACGATAGTAGTCATCCTATGATATTATTTGCTGACGATAGTACTATTTTTATTGATGAAAACATTGACTATAGTAATGACATATCTGGTGCTGTGACAAACGTAATAAACTGGTTAAACAATAAAAATCTTATAATTAACTTAAAGAAGACAAACATAATGCATTTTTCTCAAAGAAAACCTACTCTTATTCCTGACATTGAAATTAAAGGAGTAAATGTCCATAGAACAGACACTGCTCGATTCTTGGGGATTCATATTGACAGTAATATGACCTGGGAATCTGTCCTGCCCTGTACATGTTGTCTAAGTCAGTTGATCGAAAGACATTGCTTATGGCATATCATGGCTATGTTGTTGCAACACTACGATATGGTATTATTTTTTGGGGCAATTCTTCTTACAGAGAAATTATATTTAGAGCCCAAAAAAAGTGCATTCGAGCAATATGTGGACTGAAACCCACAGAAAGTTGCAAACCTTTCTTCAAATCTTTAGCACTGTTAACTTTTCCTAGCCTCTATATTTTTGAATGCTGTACATTTATTAAATGTAATCCAAACTTGTTTGAAGTAATAGAGCCTGAAAAAGATTCCCACCTACGCCCAAGAAAGCCGTATATCCGTACTCTGCCTTGTAAAACGGCTATGATGGAGAAGAGTGTAGTAACCATGGCTCCACGGCTATATAATAAATTGCCTGATAGTCTTAAGAAGTTAGACGATCTTAAATTCAAAACTGTATTGTCTAAACTTTTGATTGACAAATGCTTTTATGACATTTTTTTATAGGATTTTTTTTACTGACAACTTGATATTTTGACATTTCAATACGCGGATGTAATATAAATTTTTGACATTTGTAAAATTATTATATAGGTAGTATTTTTTTTTCTTTTCAACATCCTTAATTTGATACTTATATTTTTTTTTATGTTTTGTTATAACAGGTATTGTAAATAATGTAATAATATATAAATAACTTCATAAATTCATATACCAGAATGGTGAAACATAGACAGGACTAATACTTTTATTGTAACATCACTATTGTACCTATGTTTATGAATAAATTAATTCTATTCTATTCTACAGCGTGGTTACAAGCAGGTGACGTGGGTTTTTGACATGCGAACAAAATACGAAATTATATTTCGGTCCTGTGATAAGTGATTCAGGTTTGCAACAAATGATAATTTTTGTACTTAAGAAACGCGTTAATAAATTACAAAAAAAGGTTAATTTAAAAAATCAAAAAACCCGACTGCTTAATTGTACTTCAAATAAAAACTGAAAAGAAAAAAACAAGTCCAGTAGTCTATAATTCTGTTAATAAGGAACAAAACTACTTTAACAGTCGGGACCCATTAGATATTCAAGAATACATAATATTTTTCAATAATGGGTCCCGACTGTTAAAGACCCCCCCCCCCCCTGGCGCCAAAGCTGGATCCGCCCTTGATATACAATACCAATCAATGACGTTTATATCGCAGGTTGAAGAAAGCAGTAATTCCCCTCTGTTCTTTTGGACAATGGTGGCAACTGCCTTAGATAGCTAAATTAAATAATTATGCAATCACCAAAGCAAAGTTTATAATATTTGATTAAACTAAAGGCGCATAATAAATTTTTCATAACGTTAGGTAGAGCACCATAGCAATCTCATTTATTATCAATTTATAGTTCTCTTTGTAGTTTTCTTTTAAAGCGTTCATATATTATAACAGGTCAAAGACTTTGTGATCGACCCTTTTTTATTGGTAGTGTAAAGCTCGAATGAAGAGTACTTCCACCTATCAGGCTGCTGCTACCAGCCTAGTAGGTATTGAAAATAGTGCAATCATGGCAATTATTTTCCAAATATTCTTTTTGTATAAAGAAATAGCGAATAACGTATCACTGTTAAGTACAAATGCTAAGTAACTTTTACAAATATAATCAAATAAACCTTTTACTTACTTTATTTTAAATCGTTTTCATCAATTAAATACTATTATCCTAACTATCTATACTAATATTATAAAGAGGCAAGCTTTGTATGTTTGTAACAAATAATCAGTGAAACTACTGAACCGGTTTCAAATATTAATTCATCATAAGGTAGCTACATTATTTATTATTACATTTTTCTTTATTTGTATACATTTTGTCCGAGTGACATAGGCTTTATTTTATCCCGATAAAATAAATTTCGCCCGTACAATGCCGGGGTGGATCACTTGTAAGTATAATATAATATTATAGATACAAAAGTGAGTTTCTTTGTTGCGCTTCCGTACCCTAATAGCTAAATCGATCATAATGAATTCCCATAAAGAAGTAGATGGGAACTTGGTTCTAAGCTACAACATCGCAATACTTATAGGCGTAGGGTGATGGAAGAGGTGATTTACCTATAAAACTCTATATTATTTACTTTGAATTATACAGAATTATCGTTTATTATTACAAAACCAATATTATCGCGAGCTGATTAATAAATACAGGGATTCCAATAAGTATGTACCTACTAGCGAAAAATGGGTTTTTTATCATTATATTAAGTAACCCTA